CAGCTGCAGCTCATTGTCTCTAGTTTTAGAGACTTTGTTTCAAACAAACTGGGTATAAACCTGGTTCAGGTCTGGACTGTTTATGGATGCTGACCCGGGGCTCAGGGCTACACCTCTTGTTATGGACAGTCTACTGAGCTGCTCCAGTCTTCTGGTTGCTCAGGAACTGCAGGGGAGGGGAAGAGCACTTCCAATACAATGGAGCTGAGACTCAGAGTAAACTTCTGTGATTCCGGGTATCATTATTACGAAAGGAGGTGTTCGGTGTTTGTCAGATGACATCACAGTTATAAAATCAGGATTTGACCAAAGGTCCAGACATAGACTAGGTTTCGACCTGGTCTTGTTGATTAACAGAATTCCTGTTGTCATTCACCAGTTTACTTTGACTTCGCTCCCTTTCATGTCAGAGAAGAATTAAGAACTGCCATAGAAGGATTGGATCTAGCCTCAGAACTGCTGCAGGTCTTTTAATGTGAAGTGTTCAGTATCACTGACAGCAGTTCAACACTGAATGCAAAAACAGCTAATTAGAGGTAATTAGTGAATGAAAATAGCAAGGCCAGAATGATGAGTATGGCTCTGTGACTGTACTGATGGAATTCTTGCTGTGAAAATGTACATGATACTTTAGTTATCATGACAAAAGGTAAACATAGAGGAAGTGTTTGAATTTACAACAAATTAAAAGCCTAAAATAAAACTAATAACCTCTCTGGGTGATCAGTCCAGAGTATCTGTCATGCACAATCTGTCTTTAAGAAGGGCTGAATATCTGGGGGTTGCATGAAATGCATCACACCTCGGATGTGCTTGTCTTGTCTTCTTCCCTACAATCAAATAAAGACCTGGTTCTCCCTATAGCTGAGATGTTTTTACTTCGTCTCCAGCAGCATTGGTGAAGTGACATGTCTTTAATGACAGATGGTAGACACAGTCAGTGAACACATCACTGAGCTGAACCGTGTTGAGTGTCAAAAGAAAAGAGAATGAACTGGTTAGAAATGCCATATCTTCCTACCAAATAAAATGTATCATGGTCTTTTAATAGTTTGAACAGGAGAAGGTCAGTTAGTTAAAAGTGTATCAATCCATTGGACACACTGTGACCATCACACATGCAGAACCATCACTATACACACACATACACACACAAACCCAGCTCAGAGCTCTAATGAGAAATAAACTGTATATGTTACACTGAGCCGTCATCTGACACCTTGTCAAACAAACATCAGCACCAAGCATCTGTGTCCAAACATGGACAGCATGTAGACAAACATGACGAAACAGTGATATTCATTTAGTCAGCTCATCATTAATATGTAGGTATATGATTGTGTCATGTATGCACAGAAGCTTCAAAGCCCCAGACGATCTTCTTTTTTTCTTAAGTGAGTAAAATATTGCAGCCTAAGACGACGGGCACATCAACACAAGTGTTGTCTCATTACTGTAATTCTATTAACACTGACTCTGAGAAATGACAAATCACATCAAAAGGGATTAAACTACATCAGGAAGTGTGTATGAGCCTGGAGTGTGCCATTAGAATAATTACAATAGTTTAAAGTGTTTTGTTGTGATCAATTGATAAATGAATAAACATTTTAAAAGGGCACTATTAACTGATCATTTAAATTTAATCTAAAATGCATTCATTCAAATGAAAAAATATCATTACATTTGCCAGTTCATAATTACTTTGACCTTATGCTGTCTTGATTTTTTTTGAAAACACAAAAACAAAACCCGAATTCATAACAGTAACTTACAAAATGGAAAAGGATGATGCCTTCGTGGCCAGTCAGTACATCTGATGGACTGTAATGAGCAAGCTTTATTCAACTAAAGTGATCAATCACAAACAAAATGTTTGCTAAGATGGTTTGTTTAATTGCTGTGTTTTTCTAAATGTTTGTGTTTTGTGAAATGTTGTATTTTTTGTTATTTTAGAGTATTCTCTAAAATGTGTTTTCTGTTTTGGTGTTTTGTCAAATCAAGATAAGAGAAAAAGAGAGGAGAGATAGGGAATGACATACAACAGTTCCTTGGCAACACATGAACTGGGGTTGTTGTGACACCCTCAAACCATCAGCCTGTCTCGTACTTAAACTTGATTTGTTATTGAGATTACTTAGGAGTCTGCCTATCGTTACATATTTACGCATTTAGACCTTAGAGATAAATAAATGGAACTATAAAAGAGAATGAGCAAAACAAAAAGATAATAAAAAAATCCAGGCAGATGTGTCAGGAAGAATGTGTGGGCCCGGTCAATGAAAGCTGTGATGAGAAAAAGACAAATAGAAATAGATTTCCAAAAAAAGAAACAGGGATCTCAGGATGATTAGTGTAGCAACTGCACAAATCCTTATTATTCCTTTGAGAACTGGACAACCTCATCTGATCATTATAGTGTCAGTTTGAATGGAATCGTAAGGTTTAAAGGATGAATATGTTTACATTCTGATATCAAAAACACATTAAATCTTTAGTGTAGAGGTTTATTCTTGACCTTTGACATAGGACTGAAGGTATTATCAGGTACAAGAGGTGGATGATTGTAAAGCAGTGGTGTGCTGTCAATGTAAGTACTGTTAAAGCTGAAAATAGCCATCAGATAGAACGATTCTGAAAAGGAAGCCATGTCTCTTCTTAGATCTGATCTCAGAGCAGTCTTCTGTCCATAAAGGATCTGATGCCTGTTTGCCTGCATCATGTAATTTATTGCCCTCTTGTGGCAGTAGCAGGCTATTGTCTCTGAGGTCAGTTTGACTTGCAGCCATTGTATCTATAGTTTCTTTCATTTTCATGGGCGTGAATGTGTCATTGACAAAGGCTGGAGCCTGTCAAGTGGAGAGGGGAGCAGTGTTTTTGGACATTTGGGCATTGAGAATGATCCTGGATCTTTGACAGGTGAGCTATAGCCAAAGTGAGCTTGTCAAGCTGTCATTGACTTGGCTTCTACTATTCTGAGAGCAGTTATGATATTGTAGCATACCACACATGCACTGACATATGTGTGTTACACTGTGATGTAGCATTCTGTGTTGATCTGCTGTCATTTTGAGAAGTTTGACAGACTATTGTTACAGGAGTAACTGTGCTGGTGAGAGAGGACAAGAGAGATTAAAACTCTACCAGAACAAAGGTGTGATTTGTGTTCAAAGGTCAGGTATGTGCTGACCCATGATGGCATCACACCAATCACACGTCCTGCTGAGTTATTTACATGAGGTTGATATATTGAGGGATGTCAATACGTTATTGGAGAGTTTATGTATTAGACAATATGAATGACAATATGATAGGCATAATACAAAATAGTAGACAAATCAAAATGTTGACCCAAAGTCTGAAAACCAGAAGTTCAGGTTCAGAGTTATTGTCATTCCTGCAATATGCTTGACATACATAACATACAGGGAAACTAATGTTGTTCCTCATGGACCTGCAGCATAGAACAGATGTACAACCACCACACAATCCTGAGGGTAAACATAAGTTTGAACAAAACAATGTCTGACTCTGTATGACTGAAGTCACCAGCAATGATGAGAAATCCGTCAGGGTGTGCTGTTTGTTTGTTGATGATGCTCCTGTACAGCACTCACAGGTACAGGTACACTGCTACAATAACAACAGCATTGAAGTCCCTCAGCAGGTAGAACTGTCTGCACGTCACATCTGTAAAACCCACCAGTGGAAAATAGTCTCTGGACATAACTACAGTGTTTGTGCACCTTTTCTAGTGGATATAAACAGTCCAGTGCTGTAACTGTCTTCCCTACATATTCAAGTGGAAACATAGAATTACAGCCAGCCAAACTCTTTTCAATTATGATTGAGTCAGAAAGTTAGCATCTTAGACATTCATTTAATGACTTTAATTTGCCATAACCTTGAAAAACTACAAAGCAAGGAAAAAACACATTACTGTGTTACGTTCCCCGATGGGTGCCAGGGGATGAGGAGAAGTAACAAAAAAAAAGTGTTCTGGGAGGAAAGGAAGATAAGGAGGCAATATTCATTCATTATTCACTCATTCAACAAAAGCTGGAACAGTTCGTAAAAACTGCCGTAAGCTGAAACCTACATGATTTAATCACCCTACCGTATTCATCAGATCCAGGTTTAATTCTAGCTAGACTGGCTGCTACTTTAGCCTCTGTCACTATAACTGAAGAGTGACCAGTAGTGTTGGTAAGTAAAGGTATAACTAACAAAGGTGTAGTGTTTCCTATTTCCTGTTTCCTGTTTGTAACACAAAACTCCAACAGATGGTTCCAGAAGGCAGACCAACCACCGTGAGTCATGTGAGTCGAGAGTGAGCCTATCTAGCTCCATGGCCGTAGTCACAATGTTTCAGTGAAAACAAAGATGCAACAGTTCTTCATCTCATGCTGTGTAGCTCAGTGTACACACTCTCCAGAAGATCCTGGCTGCATAGAAAGGTGCTCTTTGTTTTACAAAAAAGACATGACTGAAAGTGGCCGAATGTGAAAAATGTTTCATTTCAGTTGCTAATTACAGTTAATAAAATTCATTTTTTGGGAAACATCGATGTCCATCCAGCAGTTGCTGAGCTATTTCAGTCTGGACCTGGGTTGAATAACAGACTTGGCATAGGCTTTCTGTGCATTAGATGGTTTGTGCTCATTTAATAGTAAGTGTGTTGGGAATATGCACCACTAAATCCTGCTTTATTCCTTGGTGTTGGGGCCTACGGTTTTGAAGATGTGCCCTAATACTTACCCTAACCCTTTTTTCCAGTTTTGTGCTTATTTGTTGCACATTCCTCAATGAATGTGTCTCAGTTACAGCCAAATAGTTCTGTGTTCCAGCATCGACAAACCTTTACACAGTGCACAGAGAGTGGGGTGTAAAGGGGGCTTTGAACCTCGGCAGATTAATCCAGTCATGGTCTATGCCAAAGACCTTCTAACTGATAATATATGATGAAACAGTCTCTCTGTGCTCCTGACTTTCTTATACAGAGGCATCCATCCTCTCCTACGACGGCAGCATGTATATGAAAGTGGTGATGCCGACCATCATGCACACTGAGGCAGAGGACGTTTCCCTTCGTTTTCGTTCCCAACGGGCCTATGGCCTCCTCATGGCCACCACCTCCCGAGACTCAGCCGACACGCTCAGGCTGGAGTTGGATGGGGGTCGTGTCAAACTCACAGTCAACCTAGGTATCGTATGCCCACCCACTCATCTGCCTCCACACCTACATCCTTCACCATGAGACAGTTTACTGTTGAGCAGTGACCTCTTCCTTCTCTCACTCCTTTCTATCTGTATTCTATTTAGTCTTTCATCAGTTACTCATCACTATGATCCCTTAAAGGTTTTACCAGCTTCAGAACATAGGAGAGTTTTGGTCTTTGCATGGGTGTTAATGCATTTTGTGCAAACAGATACCCGTAGACTGCTATTGAATACAACTATATATAACAATTCATGCTATACCACGGTAACTTATTTATTTCAGTGGAAAACATCTTTCAAACAGACAAACCATAGTCAAATCATGTTCTTATTTACAGAACTTTTGAGACAGTCACAGCACAATAAGCAGAATACATGTTATGATGGAGAGATAATGGGCTTTAAAGTCTAATCTCGAATAGTCTTTTTAATGAACAAAGTTTCCTGAGACTTTCTAAGAGGTGAATTCCACCAAGTGTAGCCTCTGATCTTCAGTCCATTATTCAACACAGCATTAGAGAAACTTTTCCTGTCTTTCTCACTAACTTCATTTTTCTGACATGAAGTAATTTCTCTGTCACCTTCCTATTCCTCTTGGTAGTTGTTTTCTTTGCTTACTATGATGTGTTTATGGAAGTCTCTGCTTTTCAATGTTATGTTTTTATGTTTACCCGTCAACTTCATTTTCCATCACGTTTTGTCGAAAGATGGTATTCACCCCTTCAAAGGCCTTAAGCCTGCGGCCCGTCAGGTGAACAGCCCGAGAACAGAGCCCAGCAAAACCTACAGCTGGCTGTGACCCCAAATACTTCCAAAAACACTGCCCGTCATTATATTAAAGAATGCCAAGATGAAATCTAGTCAATTTATAACTCGAGTATACAGTACCTCCAGTAAAAATCATAAAATGTAAGAATAATGTTAGCAGATGTTAGCTTTTTGGCCAAGCCATTTTTAGATGAATTCTAAGCTGATTATATTAATTAATGTGAGTCAGACTCTAGATTTCAGTCAAAATGTTTGCAGCTCTGATTGATAAGTTCTCATATGATTTCTTAGCCTATGTTAATGTGTGTGATTGTTAACGTTGTAAATATAGCTCTAGTTTCTGGTCCAGCTTAGTGACACATTTAGGTATAGATCCAGTGGTTGGGGTTACTGTGCCTCTGCATGGTGCTGGTGCTGATTGGATCGTGGCTGTTTGCTCCCACTTTTCTGTTGCGGTTGACGACACATGAAACCACCAGCCACATGGTGACCAACCCTTGCTGTCTTTATAGTTACTTACAGCAGTTATTCTGGGCTCAGTGGAACTATTGTTTTACAAATTCAACTCGTTGCTGTTTGAATAGGAACTCAAATTATATAAGTCATTACTTTCTTTACTTTTTTTTCAAAGGTCCAGCGCTCTAAAATGAATGGCTGCCACCACCTGGTTGGTGCAGAGGCTTTGGAGCCAGAGACTTTGACTTTTCTAATTTGAATATGTAAAGCTTAAAACTTTAAAGTCCAACAGTCAGACCAGGGTTGGAAAACTCATGTAGCTGGTACTACAAGTGGCCATTTTACTGTAAATACTGTGCCTAAACAATTTATACATTTGAACTCTATAGGTACTATAGGTATCAAAAATGCACAAGTTCTAAAAGTAGCTAGCTCATTTCTATGATTGACACAGGCATTATTTTATTTACTGTTAATGATGGTTTTGAAATGATAAAATCTCTGATTTATTTAATGGTAATTTGGCATAAACATAGATATAAATACTGAATAAATAAAATGGCTACCTTCCTGCATGTGTACGTCCCCGGAAGGGTGGACTTTTTGTTTTTGGATGTCTGCAGCAGTAACCTTGAAGGATGCAATTTCATCTGTCATTTATTCTTCCCCATCTAGACTGTATCAGGATAAACTGTAACTCCAGTAAGTTAACACTCAAGTTTCATTTTGCTTTCTATGTTGATGGTTTGTTGATGTTTCTTTTAAAGAAATGTTTGTTTTTTTTCTTAAAATGTGGGTCCTGCACCACCCTCCACCTTCTCTTAAGTCTATCATGTGGAGGAACAGTTTGCTCAGTTGGTTTGAGGACCCCTATTCAACAGGAACCAGCAGAAATAGCCTCAGTCAAATGGAATGAGTGGCGACTTTGGCTTTAATTATTAGACATATCCTGACGTATTTTTAAATCAACCACATTATTCTATTTTCTGCTAATAGTTCTGTTAAAACAGAACCATTTTCACACCATTTGCACTGTATACAGAAGTAACATAATATATTTAAAATAGTCCTTACAGTATAGGTTTCATTTTGCCACATTTTTTAGGTAATAGCAAATCAAATTTCTTTATAAGTGATGCCATTAAGTGACTACAATCTGAGAAGCAGGTTTATATGTAACTGAGTGCTACTTTGTGAGGGATACAGGTAAGAGAGGGAAAACGAGAGTAATTCTAAATAACTATCTTTTATACTTAACTGAGACACTTCATTTGGATAGTCTATTCATGATTTTAGTACTAGCTCTGTTCAAAACACCCTTTAACTTCTCTAGCATGGATAAGATAATTCCTTCCATCTGTTAATGTTAATCATAAAGAATAGTTGGTGTGAATACTAAGTACATTCCATGATAACACATCAATAATAAGTAGTGCATGAGATTGTACTACCCATATTCCAAATGTTCCAATGTTAAACCAAAACATGTGTAAGAGAATGCAAGAGTTTGTTTAGAAGGCTTTCCAAGGAAAAACATACATGTGTTAAAGAAAGTTACAATCCTCTACTGAAATAGCAGTCCAGTAATCTGCATGAATGTAAAACGTGAATGATATTTCAATCTCAGCGGTAAAACTGTTATAAACTCACCAGTCCCCAAAACAGATAAACCTATAGTACCCTGAAGGTAATGCTGATATTGTCCCAAGAGAGGGAAACAAGATAATGAATTGTCTGGACCATACAAATAATGAATCATTTATTAGTTGTGTACATTCCTTTCCCTAACCCGAAGATTGAAAAATCACATTGTTTCACACAATCCTATATATTTGAATCAGACTTATCATCATAGGAGACTAAGTATCAAAACTGGATAGAAATACACAGAATATGCAGGATTGTTAAGTATTGTTAGGAGAATTCATGTCACATTACAATCTACACATTAAGTTTAGGATGATGATTCAGTGAGCTCTGTTGGAATTACTAGAGTCTCTGGCTTGTCAGGCTCTCACAAATCACTATGGATTGCTTTTACTCATAATGGGGCCATGGAGATCTTTGCCTTTACATCTGCTATTCTAAAGTAGAAAAAAAAAAGTAAAAAAAAAAAAAAATGTAATAATAATAAAAATGTAATAAGAAATTATAGTAAATAGTAATGATAATAGTAAATAGTAATGATAATAATACATCAAATTTGAGGCTGACTCCTCAGTACAGAAGAGGGATTAGTATCTTTTACCACTAAAAATATACCTGCAAGTTGATGCAGCCTCATGGATTTGGAGTGGAAGAGGTCAAGTGATTGCTAGACAGTTCAGTTTATATTATGAGCTCTCATACACAGAGATGACAACCTTTTTTTTGCTCAGGTTTATCAGGGGTCCAAGACCTTTTTTTGGTCAAAGTGGTACTGCAGCACACACTGTAAAAGGTATGTAAGTGAAATGATCAGGGATGGTATACAATGGCACATGTCAGTCACCAAAAATTACACACATCTACTTTAAGGTGGCACTATAATCAAAGATCGTTTTGACCTATAACTCCCACATTGTACATCACACATTCAAAAAACTCACCTTGACGTGTTCCATTAAATTAGATGAATCTGGTGATATAGGCCACTCCCATTTACACCAATAATTGTTTTGTTTTTTGTTTTTTGCAAAATTGTGAAATATTCAAAACCTACTTTGTTGACCTACCCCTCAGCTTTGAGTCCCATCTGCACAACATTTTGCATGTATAATCAAGGCACACTCATGTTCAAATTTATTAAAAGAATTGTGGTTATCCAAATAATGTGCCAGTTATAAAAGAACAACTTCCTGTAGGTAGTAGTCCAAACAGGAAGTGTTGCATACCTTAGCAACAGTCAGTCCTAGTAACACAGAACTTAGGCTAGTAGTTCCTCACATGACTCTGAGGCTCTGTACAAAATACTGTGCCAATTGGCCGCTAGTGGGCACTACAAATATGAAAAGTTAATATCTCATTCTTGGCTGCATGGAATCATACAAATTTTGTTTTGCATGATCGAGGGTCATTACTCAGTCTATACATAAAATGAAGTAATGATCGATTAAAGTGGGCGTGGCTTCTTACAAAAGGAATTTAATTTGTACACATTTCACCTTCCAAACTTCAAAAATTCTAACTAAGTCACCTGTACATCCTACAGAGCTGAAGTTTTTTCAGCACATTCACAGAATTGTGACCTATAGATTCAAAGTCACCAAAATATTTGATGATACTCCTGAAACCAGCAGAAGGAGGTGTGATTTTGAACATTTTGACTGTTTGAAGTGTTTTAAGGTTAAACAGACAAAGATACCAGAGTTTTGCACGTGATGTCATTGCCTCATCTTATGCGAAGGCATGTGTTGCACATGATTCCCCAGTGATCCAATCAGTAAATCATCTTCTCTGGGGATACAAATGTCAAGAGTTCAAAACCCCAGATAAACAACGTCCCCCTTAGACAGCTAGTAGCAATTTATGCATAGGGCATCCAAATGCTCACAAGTTGCTTGTTAGAAATCCAAGTGTGAAGGGGCGGGGGCCTGGTGCTGGGAATCCTTTTGTAATCGCAATTTTGGGAAAAAAAAAAAAAAAAAAGACACATTCCCATGCAGGTGGCACTATAATCAAGGAAAAACTGTTTTGGCCTCTATCTCATACTGCACATCTCACATTTAAATGTTGTTTGAATGTCGTTGAATCTCCTGATAGAGGCAACGGCCATGTCTGGTTATGATTTTGTTTATGCAACTCCTCATAAGGGTTGAGTTTGGAAACTTTACATATAGAGTCTGCCAAATGTCCTGACCCACAGTTATCAGAAGAATTTTAATTGCCCAAAAAAATTGGTTTTAATATTTGACATTTTTCTTTTATAAGTTTAGTGCTATATTTATTCATGCATTTATTTATTATTTTTCCATTGGCAAAAGGGGGCATATCAGCACACACCATAAAAGTTATGGAAGTTAAATTCAAAGTGGAGGTGTATATTGGCCACTAGTTTTCTACTTTCTGTGCTGCTCTCAGTCTGAGACTTGCATAGCACCAGTGGACCTCCAAGTCTAACTTGCATCACCTTGATTTGCAGCTGAGTGCGAATGGTTTGGGGGCTTGTACACTGTTGATACCTGCCTCCTTTTATTTTTCTTAGCTAAAAGTGTTCAGCAAAATTCACCAAAAAGGAGAGGGAGGTTTGTTAATTGCACCCACTATCTATGCACAAAAAATGACACTAATTGTGGTAGCACGATATAATCAAGTCTATATTTTCAAGATTTCTTCGAGAACAGATTGGGCTAGAGTCAAAATACTTTCACCATTTTAATTTCTCACTTCCTTTGCATTAGCTCAAAAAATTGATACGTTCCAGTCCTTTTCAAAAAATCAAACATAACCAAAACTAATAAGTCTGAGACCGTTCATGCAATTCTCATGAAATTTGGTCAACGTCATCTACTGACAATGGTGACAAGAATGTATCAGAAGAATTTTCATATAACAATTCGTTTGAAAGTATAGAATTTTAAAGCTGTGTTGTTAAGATCAATTTTACATACATGCTCAATGCTATTATAACCAAACTCAGTGCACTCCTGAAGACCGTAGCTTCAAGCTATGCTACACAGTCTAGGGATATTCTGCCTCTTGAGGCAGCTACTAATCTGCTGCATGGATTTGTACAAAATTTGGTTCACACAATCTAGGGTCATTACTCAGTCCATCCACAAAATGTGATTGATTAAAGTGGGCATTACTTATTACAAAAAAATTAATTTCTAATCATTCCATCTACCAAACTACAAAAAGTCACAATAAATCACCTGTATATCCCACAGAAATGAGATTTTTTTTCAGCACATCCACTGAATGGTGACGAAAGTTTGCTTCACTTAACCTATGGTCAATTCAGAAGTCTGTGACTATATTTTTCAAAATATGCAAAATTCAACTGCTACCAAAATTTACACATTCACTAAATTTTAGATATCAAGTGTGTGGATTGGGTAAACAGTGAGAGTCTGCTGTGATATTCATCATCTTGCTGTAATTTGTACAGTATGCACGATACTTTTTTTTTTCCTAGTCTTGGATTAAAATCATTCATCAATCAATCCAGAACATTTTTTGTTACATTTCTTTAAATTCTCTTAACACCCCGACAGTGACTAAATTAAAGGCTCTGAAAATAAACAGAGAAAAAATCTGTCCTCTGTGACAGCCTGTATAAGCTCCTTCCAATCATTTCAGTCTGCCTGATTACAATGATTGGATAGCCTTCCTCTCTGTCAACCTACCAACAGCTTGCCTGTGCATACTCTGGCCATGCACTCAAGCTCATTGTTGTGCACGGCCAAAGTATTTTGGGATCAAACAAGCAGCAGTTGCAGGTAAAGAAGAGGAAGTAGACGCACAGGAATGGCTGAGAAAGTACAACCAGTTCCACCTGAGGCTTTCAATTCAGCAGCAGCTTCACTCATAGAAGGAAAATGGTAGCACAAAAAGCTGCAACAAAAAGAAAAAGACAAGAGGCAAGAGGCCAAAGAAGAGACATCATTGAGGTTGCTTTTCAAAGATGTAGACAACTGAAGGAACAGAAGAGCTAAAAAGCGATGGGATGGTGACCGATATCTGCTAGACAGGTAATTATCTTGTTTGTTTTCTTTTGGGAA